CAACCAACAGCAACAACCAACAACCAACACCCAACAACCAACAACCAACAACCAACAAACAACAACCAACAACCAACATCCACTAGCCAACAACCAACGACCAACAACCAACAAACAACAACCAACAACCAACATCCAACAACCAAAAACTAAAAACCAACAACCAACAACCAACAGCAACAACAACAACAACAACAACAACAAGAACAAGAACAAGAACAAGAACAAGCAAAAAAAGGGGCAAAAAGATGTGTGGTAAGATGGTTGCCAGCTACGGTATGAAAAGAACATCACATTGTGCTCTGCACCTGCGCGGGCGCTGAGCACATGAACAACACCAAAGCTCACTACTATACATAACCCTTATTGCATCGCCGGTGCGCGAAGCTCTACAATATCGAGCTGAACACTGCTGCAGTCCGTTGGTGTGGCTCTTGTGTCAATTGCCGAACACCAGCACGACGAATGGACCAGTGGAAACCCAAACGCATATAAATTAATCACAAGAATTTCGAATCATTTTCATTGCTTGCGCGCAATCAAATTGCGGCATTCAACATGTCAAGTGGTCCCTGCTACCAACTCGTTCTTTTCGAATTGCAGACTCTTGAGCCCAAAAAGGGCGGCAGGCCAGCCAAAAACGTACGTTTCAACCTATACAGCTAGTCTGCTCCTGGCAGGTTTAGCCCTCAACACAAGTGCCATGGAGTCAATGCAAGGACAAGTCTGCCAAGTTAAGCTTGCTGAAGCGCCATTGCTCGTTCTTTCTACCCACATGGCAACGTTTCTACCATGCGCCGTCGGAGCATTAGTCACCTCAAGTTGGAAGCAACATCAAGTCAAGAATCAGCGACAGGCTGAAGCCAATGAGCCAATATGCATATTCGACCGTACGTCAATCGTGATCAGTTTCAAAACGCAAACATTTGATCTTAAACGCGCGTGCATGTGCATCCCAAATTACACGCGAGATTGACAGAGCTGTTGGAGCAGTGACGTTCCGGTCCACATTTCTAATCTTTTAGTCTGCGCATTTTACCGGAAGATGTACGAGGCTCACTCGTCCCTGCGTGGCAAACGTCAAAATAACATAGTACTGCTTGATGACACCACACAAGCCAAAACTTAGGCAGCTGTTTGCCTCAAGGCGGAACGCAGGAAACAGTGCTGTAAATGCTAGATGAGGGCAGGACACAGGCCACAGCAAAATGTCTTCGTAGATCGTCTGCCAAAAACGCGCACGGCCACATCCCAAAATTTGCAAGTGCTTGCAAGTATGCGACGGAATCACCCAAACCTTGATGTGGCCCCAGTAAGCAGGTAAGCAAGTAAGCAAGTCAGGAAATTAGGAAGCAAGGAAGTAAGCAAGTAAGCAAGTAAGCAAGTAGGCAAATAGGCAAGTAGGCAAACAAGCAAGCAAGCAAGTCAGCAAATTAGGAAGCAAGGAAGTAAGCAAGTAAGCAAGTAAGCAAATAGGCAAGTAGGCAAACAAGCAAGTAAGCAAGTAAGTATGTAAGTAAGCAAGTAGTCTGGCCTTTTCTGCGAATTGGGCCCTTTGTACCTTTCTATCCATGACTATATTTTTATCTTTCTGTCTATCTATCCGGTTTCAGTGTCGACATAGACCGACATCTATATATGGATAGATATATATATATATGTTATATATATATATCATCTACGTCTACGCTGACATCTACGTCTGTGTCCACCCCCATCCCGACCAAGAGACGGGGGGGAGGACGTGGCCCTCCCGCTCGGCGTGATGTAGGACCACCATCGCCATTGGTGGTCCCACACCCGCACCCAGCCAGCAGGCAAAAAGAGCGGAGCTGGCTGGAACGACTAGCTGCACCAACTGCCCTCCTGCCAAAAAGAAAGCACGAGCGAGACACAACCAACCCAAGCTGGCGTATGAATGATGAGTCATCAAAGGAAGTTTAGAAATTAAACTTCCAACTTATGGGAAGATGCAGCCAGATCGCGCGAGAGAGAAAGAAGAGAGAAGAGAGAAGAGAGAGAGAGCCTCAGAAGAAGGAAGATCAGAGAAGGAAAGATTCAAGATTCAAGAGAAAGCAACTCCAATGGCGCGAAATCTTCAGAACCTTCTTCATCTTCTCTTCCCACCTGCAAGGTGACGGTTGTTAGGTTTTATAAGGGTTCTTCTCCTCCTTCTTCCTCCTCCGCCGCCTCCTCGCCCACACTGGGGTCAAAACTCGTAGCAGACAGTCCCACGCCTCGTGCTCAAATACTATGGAGCCACCTGATGAGTGGAAAACAGGTTTGTGACCTGACGGTTGTACGCCATATCCCCAACACTTTTTGCAGATAATGTCAAGTCAGGATTAATCAAACCCCCACGATTAGACAACCTCGACTGCCAAAAAAAAATGTAATTTATAAAAACAGTTGGTCCCCCAGGATTTAAAAAAAACTTTTTTGCCTGGACCTAATTAATCAACCTCCAGTGCTGAAATCCAATTTGTTTGATCCAAAATTCTTTATTTTCAATTCTTTCAATTCTTTTTGTTTCTCATCATGTCTCATCAACCTCAGCACTCATCATTGTTATACTTAAGGTTTAAGTTGAAATATGGTTTTGTTTTATTTTATCATTATTTTTATTTTCAAATAGTTTCCTTATGCTATACCTAAGTTGAAACCTCATGAGCACCAGAACCCATCACTGCTGATCATTGAAAAATTGAAAAAAAAAACTATTTCCCGAATGATCGATTTCTAATTAAATCCTTTCTAAAAATATCTAAAAATCATCAATTTGGATAGCTCCCAAAGGGTACCCCCCATGAGCCCATGTCCCCCAATTAATAATAATAACCAGGGTTCCCTTTATTAATCAACCCCCATGTCCCTAATGTTTGTTTCTTTGGATTTGCCCATTCATTCCCAATGTCCGCCATAGCTTTCAGCCAATGGAATTCTACGAAAAACTTATTGACTTCTATAGATGCCAATCCATATCCAAAATTTTATGGTTCAGAGGGCGTTGATTTAGGGGGGGAACTAGGAAAGACCTTCCAAGCTCAATCTGACCTTGTGAGGGGGGGTTTATTAATCCGGTGTTGACATTATACTAGATAGTAACATAGTAGTTCTCTACCGCTGACGCTGACACCCAAACCGCCAGAACCCAAAAATCTGTTCGCCAAACCGAAGATCTGGAAATACGAGCAGCACTAAGCCAAAGAGCGAGAGGCACAGCAGACTGGAAAAGAAAATCATGGTGGGAAAGTGAATCACAAGTGTTGGAGCAATAAAACCGGCAGAGCACCTTCGCAGATTGTGGAAGGACCAATGCCTAATCCGTGTACGTGACACAACCAAGCTTCAGTCGGACTGTTCTTTGATCTTTCCTCAACTCCAAGAGGTCTGATGCACTACACTACATCCTTGAGTGAGCAGAAACCATCTTGACATTGAGTGAAACGTGCAGGAAACGTCGGGTATTTCCTGGAACTCTTTGACGGCGTTGCAAATTCTTGATTCTGCTTCGCAACTCCAGAAACACCTGCACCGTTCATCACGGAAATCATGAGGACACTTTGATCCTCGACCATGGCAGCAAGTCTCAGAATCCGGAAGCACAGGGCCTCAGAGAAATCAACGAGCTTTGGAGCTGCTTCACAAATTGGAAGCCTATTTTTGCACCGATATTTGCATCAATTTCCACCAAAGCAGCAGTAGCTGCACCACCACCACACCACAACATTCGCAAAATGGCACGACCACAATCACGACGTTCACACACTGAGGTCTGGCACAGGATGCGCTCATAGGGGGCGCATGGTGCAGCCCAGCGAACCTTGTACTCACATCCGTCACATCCACGGTATGTAGTCACAGGGGTTACAGTCTGCAAGACTGAAGCCATTGAAACTAAGACTGTCGATTCAGTGCAGACTGCAAGCTGCACCAGCGGTCACCAGCGTAGTAGATCAGAGGTGCAGGCTGTAAACTCCGCAACCAATCTTGGATCTTCTGAGGTTCAAACAACGCGAGCATTCCCTGGGCGATTGGCTTAGGTTTGGAAGAAGCTCTGAATTGAGGATTGACTGTTTCCTGACAACCTGAGAAGTAACCTGCAGCTGGACCTATATTAATCTATATTACATATACCACCACCTGACATGGCTAATTGACGATTCTCATCCCTACTAGTAGCCGTCAGATCCCGGATGGTCTGGACAGCTTCAACAACCTTCCAAGACACCCGACCATTGTCAGCTACATACAGCGCTCCATCCGTGTCCATGGTGACGTCGATGGGTTCACACAACTGGAACAGTCGAAGGTGTGGGAAGGTATGGTGTCTTTGCTTAAAAGATCAGCTAGACAGGTTCAGTGGCTTCCCAAGGCATGCACATAGAATCAAGTCAGCAGCTGCCTGCAATGCACACTCTCGGATCATTTCTTTTTATCAGCAACACTTCTGGCGCTGAAACTGTTGCCCGCAATGCTAAGTTGCACAGCAGGCTATGCTTCAAGGGAATGTCATGAAATGCTGAGTCATTGGTTCGCTGGCCACCTATAAAGAAATTGACTCTTTGGGGTCCACCTAATGACTCACAGCATGTCGACTGGCACTCTGTACACTGTCAGGGTCGTGGGCTCCGTTTCGTTGTCCTCTGGGACAGATTTTTGAGGGGCTATACCTGTTCAACCCCTTCATCCAATGCGGCGGCATGGTACCAGGGTCCGGTCCAAATTTTGCAACATGCACATATCTGTGAGTTTCCTTGCGACAACGAGAACTGGCCCTCACTCCATCCTAGGGAGCCCTAACCACTTTTGTCCAGCAGCAGTCACCATTCAGCGCAAACACTTGGCCCCGGTCAACTCCTCCATTGAGCTGGGTCACATCTTGCGTCCAAGAATTGGTTGATAAAGGTTGTAAAGGTTGATAAAAATGACATTTTTGCACTAAACTCGACAAGCATGAAGTTGCTGAAGTGTTCTTTTGTGACGTTTTGAATGACCTTGCCTCTTTGCCTTCACAAATGTCTCAGGTCACATCGCAAGTCAGCTTTGGAATGAATTCTTTCTGTGCAACAAGCAATGGCTTTACCACTGCTCAGTAACGTAAGCCATGGGAGATGCTTCCCCCACAGCATGATTGATAGTTGAAGGGACCTTTTTCACCGGTCCACTCAGGTACCAACAGAGTCCGCGTTGTGAACGGTGGACGCAATTTCCATGGGTCCACACTGTGTCCACATAGCAGGAACTGAGTGGGGCAAGCCCAATAGCTTCTACCTATCGTTCTCCACCTGCAGAGATCGGTCCCAGCAGGGTTGATGTGGGGGGCTCAAGTCCTGCAAGTCCTCACAATGAGACAACACATGCCACATCCGCACATTCCAACTCATCTCAACACCTTGGAAAGAGACCATATAGACCATGTTGAAAGAGCTGAACACAAAACAGAAGGGCCTCCACATCTACTTTTGTGCTACTGCCATGTGTAGAGACAGAAAACGGTGAGTGATGGTGAGTGAAAAAAGGCTCCAGCACGTGCCCGTGCCAATTTTTAGAGCCCTACAATCTGCTTGCATTAATTGGTTGGTGACTGAAACCAATGGAGCGGAGCTGACAGCCACAGTGACCACTTCTTTCTCTGCCAATGCTGTAATATGTTGGGACTGTTGTCATGATTACAACGATGCGACCGATCATGCCATTGTGGTTGCCAGTCTAGCCCCTGCCCTATCTTCAGCACCGCTCTTCAGCTCGCACTTTGGCACCTTGCTGTCCTGGAGCAAAGCATCATCTTGGCCTTCGCCCCTAGAAGTCCATCTAGCCATCAGGCATTTCCAGTTCCAGGTCTACCCTCCGGTAATCAACCATGGCAAGTTGGGAAATCCCCTGGTACTGGAGGTCTTAATGGGAAACTCGTCTATAAATGGAGGATTTTCCATTGCTATGCACTCTCCTGGCCTATGCACCGCCTGCCGCTGCCAAGCGGTTTCGCTGCACGGAAGCCACACCAGGTGCTGTCACTGGAGGGGCTGTCCGCACCTGTCGAAAACCGTGTGTACAGGCACGCCAGACCTCTCCTTAACTATGAATCGGTGGTTTCGGTCATTTTTAGATTTCATAACTCCTCCTACAGTTTTACGAAACAACACTTGTTTCGCACAGAAATGTCCGATGGGCGTGGAATGTATGTAACTTGGGAGGTTCTGCTCGCGAGACACCCTTGAGCCAACTGGTACCTGGCCTGCACGGGGTTCTCGCACCGCATGGGGCCTTGAGACCAAACCCTCAGGTCTTGAATGGAACCCCTGGCTTGGGACATCGAATTGTCGTCACTCTGTGGAAATCTGAGCACCCCCGCAGAGCCGGGTTTCTCCCCGAGTGACTGTGCCTTAAGCTCAAGCGGATTCTCTCAGAAAAACAAAACAAACAAAAAGTAAAAAGAATCAAAAAGAATCTCAGAACCCATCAATGACAACAGCATTGTAACATTCTAAGGTTGGCATGGCACAAGAACCTCAATACACTATCATAAAATAGGTATCATCATCATCATCATCATCATCATCATCCCTTCGAAACTTGCCAACAAAATCGGCGAATGATCCCCCGTTTCACTGAAAAACCCTCCCGTGTTTTTTTCGCCATGGCCGACGCAACCTGAGCCCTGCACGCAGCCAGGCGTCAATACACCCTTGATGAAAAGCCTCAGCCAACTCATTCCCACCATTCCCTTCCAAATCCAGGGGTTCATCATCATAATCATATTGTCGAAGGGTATATGCGGTATCGGTATACATCGTATCAGATCCCATTTTTCGGACGGACCCATATATCATATCCGTTCTTCGTGCGTTAAAACATGTAAATTCTTGTTTTTGGAGAATTGAACCCGATTGAACCCCCATTTTGGCTCCTTAGATCCTTCATCTTTCGGGAAAGAAATCCCCAAGCAACTGCACTGAGCTAGTAGACATGACCGCAATGGAGCCTTCGCAGGGGTTCCGTGGCCAGCGGCCTGACGCCATGGCGAGGATGGAGTACCAAACTTGGGTGCTCTAAATAGCCCCCAAACCAGGGCCCTCAAAATGAATAGACCCAATACTACACAAAGGTATAACTTAGTGGTGGATAGATATATATATATAACTTTTTAGGGACATGGGATGATTATACACGAATGAACCAGCCGTTTTGGGCAAGTAATTGTTGAGATATCTTTGATTTGCAGGCCATAGATCCTTGTGTGCATCAGGTTTCCCAAAGGTGGCCTCAAGCAAATGCTGCAAATCTCTTCCAACTCAGTCTCTGCTACCTGACATCCGGCCAGGATTTGCTGTAGCCTATGGTCCACAGTGCCACACATTTCACAGAAAATCATGAAAGAAAACTGAGGAAGGTTCTAGAAAAAAATGTCAATGAAAGACAGCTGTGCTGTCAAATTTTATATCGGTAAGTTGGTGTGTCAGACTGTGTCCCTGGGCTGGACAGATTCATTCCCCAGCAGCAACCCCACCGAAACGTCGATGACATCCACGGGTTCCATGTCGACTGGAAGCTGCAGGGCAACTGCCGAGCTTTTGTCTGACACCACGTGCTCCTGGCTGCAAGGGTCGTGAACAATGGCAAACCGTAAATTCTCCCTAATATCAAATGCCTCAAGTTAAGACCATGGTTGTCCACACAGAAAAGTTGGTCAAACTTTACTCAGAATGAAGTGACACAAAATCCTGCAAGCTTCTCGCAGCAGCCACAGACGTCCAAGCACCTACGTGCCAGCTTGAAAACTCTACATCCACATGTCAGCAGGTTGGATGTTCGTCTGATTGTGGTAAGTCATAGTGATGCAGTCGTGCGAAGAGAACCATGCTCAAAGGAGCCGTGCTCCGCACAATAACACTTTATTTACTTGCAAGCTTGTGGTGAGATATTATATTAAGTCTTTGCAATCCAGTTTAGATTCTTTGAAAAGAACAATCCACATTCATTCTTGACTTGGATGCCTTAAGAGCCTGTCCTTCTGAAATCATGTGGTCACCTCTTCCACCAGGGCCAGAGGGTGCCGTGCCTATGTTCAGCAGCACGAAGCACATCGCAGAGGGAACGATGTCCCACGAATCCTCTGTGACGCTTGGAACGAAACACATCAGGCAGACCTCCGGGCGCACGTGGTGATGGGAGTGCTTCACCCGCACCAGATGCACCCCACCAGAGGCATGCTCCCAGTATGGCATGGATTGGCATGGATTGGCATGGATCCCACCTGCAGCATGGCACTGAGGCAGCTTGCTCCATGAAGCCATAACTGGTACAGCTGTTGTTCTTCAACAGAGCTGCTGCTTTGCCTCGTGACAAAGTTAAGGTCCTTTGAAGTTGATACCGCAGAATGGGACCCCCAAATCTTGCGGGCAATTTTGGGGGACCTTCAATTCCACCAGGCTCCGAAACATGTTCATTTGGCTCAACTTCGCAGAATACCGCACAAATCGATCGCGTCTCTTCTTTGAAGCCGGTTTCATTGTTGTTCCTCTGACATGTTCCATTCAAAAGACATGAGCTCCCCATGGCGTTTGAGCAGTATTGAAAACCATGGTTGAAACCCTTGATAAATCCTTTGCAATACATGGGAGAAAATCCCCAAGAACCCACCATCATGGGCATTCTCAACTGAGGTCTCAGCTTGTTCTGTGCGGCTGCCAACTGGCACCTTGGACAGTGTCCAACTTGAATCGAGGGAACTTGCAAAGCATCGAAAAGTACGAGGTCCTGCTAATCTTATCAATTTTCAAAAATGGACCATCAAATTCTATCAACTTTGGGGTTCGAGGTGTAACTGTTCAAACATTAACATAATTAACATCCATTAACCATGTACAAAATCTTCAGATGCCCTTCATGTCTTTGCAACATCATCCACTCATCTTAGTGCGAAACCGAAAGGCGGCTGCCAGCAGAGGTAGGGTCAAGAAGAGCCAGGTGACCTGTGAACAGACCCAACATAGAGCACCAGTGGCTACTTGCGGGTGCAATTCCACTGATTAAAAATTGGCAGTTTTCCGTAATTCTGGGAATTCTATCCCAACATATGCGGGAAAAAAATGGAAAAATGGGGGTTTCAGGGCGTATATGTTTGTATGTTGCTTGTTATGATTTTGTGTTGGGGTTCAATGTTTCATCTTCGCCTTTGATGTTTTTTCAGGTGGGGTTTTGGGGGTAATTTTGTTGCTAAAGTGATGTGTCAATGTTTGGATTGAATGGGGGTAGGATTTGTTTAGGCTGTTGGGGTTTTTGTTTGTGTTTGGGTGGGTGATTACTTCATAATATGTGTTGTTAAGATATTATGAATTAATCATTTATGCTTTCCACTTTCCTATTCCATCCCACCAGTGTTCAATCACTCTCATTTGTGTTAAGCAGGGTTTGTTTGTATCATTCAGTTCATCCATCGCTATTGATAAAAGAGTTATGTTAATAATCATTGCGTTGAATTCACCATCACGGTTGAGTTCCTTTCCACAATCAATGATGATTTTTTTATCAGTCAGGTTTTCATACATCTTTTTCATAATGTCAAAATTTACAAACATATATATCGTCATATCCTTTACCCCTTCCCCTGATTTCATCCTATCAATTACTTTCTTCCAAAACTTTTCTCCTTCCTCATCATCTGGTGAAGGCATAGGATGGCACTTTACAAAGTCTCTAATCTCTTCATTTTCTTTTTCTATTTGTTTTCTTTCCCAATCATCGTCCTCACTATCACTACCAAAGTCAGCATATATACCAATATTCCCTGTATCTATAACCTCAATTTTTGCTCTACTCATTTTCTCTTACTATATATAGATATTTTTTTCTTTAAGTATTTATCACTTTTCGTAGGTGCTCTTTTATTTTTTCTATGTTCAAATATTTTTCATAACCGTTGAACAGTTCTTCAACATATTCACGCAAGAAAATTTCCAAAATGTCTTTTATCTTGAACTCCCTGTTTCTAAACATAAAAGTTCGTTCAACATTAGGAAACCACCAGCATCTTCGTTGCTTACTGTAATTGATGAAATTAAGGTCGTGAAAGTTCTTTAGAATATGATAAGTGTATTTCCAATGGTTTTTGACATAAGACTTAATCGCTTGAAGATATATCTTATCTTTTTGAAATTCTACCTTCAGTTTATAGGTGTCCATTAAAGCGTCTATTTCTCTTTTCATTACTCTTACATTTGTTCGGTCGGTGTTGGATAAATAGATAGGTGATTTTTCCATCCTTGTTTTTTAGAAATGTATTTGTTTTCCAACTCTTGTTAGTTCTTTCTCTTCAAAATGGTCAAAATGATAGTTGAATGTTATATATCTGCGTTCCTTATCATTCAACTCTTTACATTTTGAACAGTGAAGGTTGTAATCACATATCTCATCACAAATTCCAGCAGGAAAAATGTTGTTCAATAAAACCTTAATGTCAGTCATTTCTTTTTTACAACATCCACAGTTTTAATAGGTAAATAGCATCCTCTTACTATATATAGGTAATTTTTCTTTAAGTAGTTTTTGGGGGGCTCGTTCAGTTTTCGGGCTCGGGTTGGTTTTTATTTTCCCTTTCCTCCTCTTCCAGTTCTCTTATGACCATATCTATTTCACTCATTCCTTCGTTGGGGTCTTGTCCATTGGCGAGGGTTCTTAACCTCTCAAAATCCTTCACTTTATGTCTTTCATTGGGTGGGAGGGTTTTGAGATGTTCCTTCAACTCTGTCAGGTCAAAGTATGTGTCTTCCTCCTCATCCTCATTTTCCAAAAACATTTCCATTCTTTGCTTTTCCATTTCCATAAGTTTGTTTTCCATATATTGGAATTTCATTTGCTTCTTGTAGCACTTGCCACACACATTCACGAAGGTTTTGAGCAAGTAGTTCCAATTAGGTTGGTTTCTATCGTTCAGGGTTATAACATCTGTCATTATACGACATCCACAGTCAAATTTAGTCATCTTATTTAGTCTTACTATATATAGGTATTTGTTCTTTAAGTATATTTTTTATTGTTGATAATTTTAAAAATCTAATATTATAATATATGGCAAGGAGACTATCAAGAGATGACATCATAAGCAATGTCTATTATAATCTTGAAACGGGCTTCGGTTCAATCAATGAGACCCGTAAGAAAGCCAAGGAGCAAGACCAGACCATCAACAGGGTGGATGTGGAAAACTTTATGAGGAAACAGCCCAACAAACAGATTAGAAAATACAGGGGGTCAAACTCCTACACCGCACCCTTCGCAAGGTTTGAATATCAGATTGACATAATGGATATGAAACCCCTTACCAAAGAACCAGAGACGAAAATTCCCATCAAGAACGATGAACCGAGATATGGGTTGGTGGTCATTGACATCTTCAGCAAGTTGGCAAACGTCGTCCCTATGAAAGAAAAATCCGGACCAATCACATTGTCGGCGATGAAAGAGAGTTTCAACAAAATGGGTTTTCCAATGTCCGTTTATAGTGATAATGACCGTGCCTTCCAAGCAGGGGTAAAAGAGTTCTTTGAGAAAGACGGCATCACTCACGTCGTCACCCTAGCTCACGCCAATGTTGTGGAGCGTTTCATAAGGACAATGAAGAATATGATACACGACAGGGCGAGGTTTAATCGCGGTAGTTGGACTGTAATGTTGTCCAAAGCGTTAGATAAATACAACGACACCGTCCATTCATCCACCAAAATGAAACCCAAGGATGCCCACGACGACAAGAACCATATGGACGTCAGGGTGAATTTGACAAGGAGGGAAAAGAACACTCAGAGGTCAAAGTGAATGATATGGTCAAGGTCTTTGAGAAGAAAAAAGACAACTACACCGAGAGGAAGGAGTATAACTCAAAATGGAGCAATCAATCCTACAAAATTGTCAAGATAGAATACGATGATGTCGGAAACAGAACCTTCAAACTGGAAATTTGAGGCACGAGATTTTGAAAGTATAAAAAAATATCTATAATATTAATATATGACAGAGGTAGTCGTAAAAGAGATTGATAATGAAGAACCCAAGGAAGAAACAATACCAGAACCAATACAGGAAGAAGCACGGCAAAGCCCTGCTTCCTATCGGGAAGCACCGAAAGAAGAGGAGAAACCAGAAGAAACAATTGAACCACCCGTTGAAAAGAAACCGCAACCAGCGCCAAAGCCCAAAAGGGTAAGACCGTCAAGGGCGAAACCATCTTTTGACCCAGAAGCATTCAAAAACGACCTTGTAAAGCAACTGAAGGAAGAACTACAGAGTGCAATGACCGCCAGAGACACCTACAACAAAGCCAAAGAGGAAAAGAACAAAGCGACGAGAGAGAAATTGAAATCTTTAGCATCAAAAATTTTTATAAAGTATTATATATAAAAATGAACATCAAGGAACAGAAAACGGAACTCAACAAAACTGACATCTACGAAAACGTCCGCAAGGACATCAACAGAAGACAAACCGTCCATTCAAACAAAAGTGCCAACTACAGGAGCGGAACGCCCGAAATGCCAGACAGAAGAAAAAAGTGTATAGTAGTTATGACCACTACTACCACAACGACAGCAACACGGCAAGGATGCCAACTCACAACCATCATCTTTACCTAAAGCGTCTTCTTGAATATCACAACACCGAGCACGACTACAAGGTCTTACAAGTAAAGCAGAGGATGAAGGAAGAGAATGAGATGCTACAGAACGAAATGACAAGGTTGAGGGAGGTGAGGAAAAAGCACAGATTGGAAGATTACGGGGCGAACGTCCAGAATATGAAACAGAGAATTGATGAGTATAAGCAGTGGTTGAGAGGCGATACACAAGATTAATATAAAAATCTAAAGTATTAATATATAGCAATGACAGCAGAAGTAATCAACGCAAAACAGGGATTGACACGAATACCCACTTACGCAGAACTCATCAAGGAAATAGACAGGGAAAAGTTCAAAACCAATGACATCAGAAAAATCTTTGATAGGAACGCTTGGTATTTTCACGAAAGTCCGCAGGGTCAAGCACTGAACACAAACAACATCCACCCAGCAGACTTACAGCAAATGAACTCCAAAAAGATGGCAGAGGAAGCGACCGCGAGGAAGGAAGAAGAAACACCCAACCTTGACTTTGAAGATATGACAGACTTGAGGGACGACGCCATCAGCGACTTTGAGATGTCCTTTGACAGAGAGGCAGAGTTGAGGGAAGAGAACGAAAGGAGAGTAGCAGAACAAGCAAATTTAAGTCATTCACAAGACCACTATATGGCAAACAAAGGGGCATACGACGCCGTCGGAGCAACAGCATCGGCAGGGATACAAGAAGACGAAGAACCACCTTCAAGCAGTAGAAGCATCTTAAAGAACTTCCTTAAATCATCCAAACCAGTCATCAAAGCAGTCGCCACAGCAGGAGGAACAGCAAAGGGAGGGTCAATAGGAGGACTAATAGCATCAATACTGACAGACGCCATCATACCCGACGAAGACGAGGAAGAGAAACCGTCCAAGATAAAACCAACACAAAAACTAATCAACAAACAAGTCAAAAAGGTAAATCACCAAAAGAAGTTAAAGGAGGAAAAATCAAAGATGAACGTAGATGTAGTGCCCAACACCGCAGAAGCAATGGATACAACAGCAATACCAACAGCAGAAAAGAGGAAACCCTTAAGCGTGAGACAGTCCAAAGCAAAGAGACAGAAACCAAAACCGCCAACGCAGGAGAAGAGAGAATTTCAGGAAGACCCATCCACAACCACCAAACCGCCCAAAGCAAGAAGAGTAAGAGGAAAGCAACCCCAACCACAAGCATTAGGAGCAACAATCAACATCCACAAAGACAAGAAGACACCCAATGTAGATGAAGCAGAAACAGCACAGGAAGAAACAGGGGCGTCATCTTCATCAAAAGCACCAGTCAGGAAACCAACAATGAACAAAGCAATATCACCA